GTTTCTATTTTGTCGTGTGTCCCGTGCGCGGTTTCTATTTTGTCCTGTGTCGAACGTTCGGCGTGTCGCAGGTGTGGGCAGCAGACCCATCAAGAACTCAAGGATGAGCTCGTGATGAAGAATCCGAGCCTTGGTTCAAGCTTCAAATGTTTTTTCGGAGCTCGTCAAAAGGCTACACCTCAAGATATTGAAGATAGTTACATTACAAAGTGTAGTGTAACATTTCAGTTGGTGTAGGCCCTTGTGAAGGGTAGTTTCGAGACCCTTCTTGGTTGGGGACAGTGTGGCACTGTTCCCCATCACTGTACCTCGGCTCTTGGGGTTTGTAGGAGCTGGGAGTCCTTCCCAACTCGTAACTCTTCCTAGCTGTTCGTAATTGTGTGTCCTAAGACTATGTTGCTGCCATAGTGCCGTTCGTTCAAACCGACGCTGTGTCGTTAATTTTTTATGAACTCATGCGATCTAAATTGCCTATTATAGGCGACGTTAAGACGCTCCAGATCCAAGTTGAATGAGTTCATTTGGAGGTGTGAGCAGATCGCTATGAACGTTTGAAGCCGCTGTGCAGAAATCTGACTGCGCACTCTATCTTTCGTTTTAGGCACATTGAAGCCTATTGTGACTAGAACACTCTATTCCTGGGTGACGGCACACACAAGTAACAGTCTCCCTCAGCACTAACAGTCAATGCATACATGGCAGCAAGGATAGCATCATAGTCAAGAGCAAAGATGTCTACACCAGCCCTAAGCAGCTCATGCTCTCCTCACCCATCTTCTCACGCCAGGCGTCGTTAAGGTGGGAGAAGCAGCGGTGCTGGGTGTGGAACTTCCCTCATGTCTGACCCTTGCGGTAACTTGTGCGAATGACATACGGACATCGACCACTACTCCCATGTCGAGAGTTGAACGGGTGAAGAAAGTACAACAAGATATAGCAAACTCTAACAAATAGGAAACGTAACACCTAGACTAACATAAACTAAACATAGAAATTATATGTTGACACACCCCCATAGTCTAGGTGACGATAGTCTTGCGGAAAGCAACACAAATCTCAAGGGTCACTTGACCAGTCAGCAAGAACAAGCGAAGGTCACAAGACCAGTCCACAATAACAAGACAAATCTCAGGGTGGAGCTCAGAGTCACCACACACTCCGTGAGCAAGCAAGAGCCCACAAGGCCAGTCCACATGCAGGTGTGAGCAAAAATATGGAGATGCAAAAGTACAAGACAAGCAGGACAAAGCATCTCCACATAAGCAAGTGAGGACAGGCAGGCACAAGGCCAAGCTTGGTGCAGAAACGCTGGTGGTCACAAGGCGGCAACGCCTTGGTGAAGATATCTGTCGTGTTGGCCTCAGAGACCATACGTCGTACGAGTGCCTGACCACGCTGCTGCAACTCACGCAGAAGGAAGTAACGAAGCTGGATGTGCTTCGCCTTCCCAACCAGTCGGGGCTCCTCGCACAACAGGACAGCAGACCTGTTGTCGGCGAACAAGACTGGGGGAGAGCGAGGCCGCTCACCAAGGTCGGTGAGCAAGAAGGAAGGACAGCCAGCAAAGCTCCTGAGCGGCCATGGCCGCAGCGTACACCTCTGCCTCACAGCTGGAACCGGCAACAGACGACACCCGAGTCGACCGCCACGAAACAGCACCTGTCCCGAGGCAAAAGAAGTACCCCTGTGTAAACCGACGCGTCTCCGCGTCGTCGACCCACGACGAGTCCGAGTAACCTGTGAGTGAAACTAGCTGCTTCCCTCCAAGAAGTCCCATGCCTGATGTGCTCGCCACATAATTCGCCATCCTCTTAGCAGCGTACCAGTGGGACGATCGGTGTCTCCCAGGCGCAACAAAGCGCGCAAGGACGCTAAGAGGGTAAGCTAGGTCTGGGCGAGTACAGGTCATCAGGTACATGAGACAACCCACCAGCTCAGGATATGGACCACTGGACTCAAATGGCTCGTCCGAAGGTGGAACATTGAGCCCATGATCTACAGCAAGAGGGGTGGGCTGTACCTTGGAGAACGGGAAGCAAAATCACGTGAGGATCTGCTCGACCATATGCGACTGCGTCAGCGTAATGGTGCGAGCTGCCCTGTTTCTGGTGATCTGCAAGCCAAGGTAGTGTTGCAACTCACCAAGGTCAGTGAAAATGTGTCTCCTCTGCAGTTCCTCCTTCACGGAGGCCAGCGCGTGTCGGTCGGGAGTGGCAAACACCAGGTCATCGACGTAGACCAGGACAAAGAACGGGGTCGAGCCACGGCAGACGAACAGTGACAAGTCGGCAAACCATGGAAAGAAGTCAAGCGCTGCAAGGGTCGAGCGAAGTGTGTCGTGCCACTCACGTGGACGCAGTTCGTAGACTGGTCGACGCAGCCGCCACTGGGTCCCAGGTGGGAAAGAGCCAGTGAAGCCAGGCGAACGACGCATCCAGATCTGCTCGTGCAGGCTCCCCTGAAAGAACGCAGTGGAAAAGTCTAAGAAGTGCAGCTCGTAGTCGCGTTGGGCTGCAATATGCAGCAACACCTGAAGAGTACTCATCTTTAGGGTGGGAGCGAAGGTCTGGAAGAAGTCCACCCCCTCTCGCTAACTGAAGCCTCTCGCCACATAGAGCGCCTTGAACACTAGTGGTGATCCAGGCGGCCGCTTCACCTTGAAGAGCCATCGGCCACTGACGACGTTCGTCCCAGGTGGTGGGACTGCGTCAACGTAAGTGCCTGTAGACCTATAAGATGCCATCTCTGCCTCCTCAGCTGCTATCCAGTACGAGGCCCAAGGTCCCGAAACCGCCTCAGCGTCGATTGCGAGGGTTCGGGATGTCAAGAGCGTCTAGATCCCCCTCAGGGGCAAAGTAGCATGGCGCAGAGATGAGGAACAGCAACCGCAAGAAAACCAAGCTTGAACTGCCTGAGGACCTTCAAGGGAAAGACAGGAGCACCCCTAGAAGAGAGAGAACGAGCAGGGCTACTCACTAAGTAAGTGGGGTAGTCAAGGCGCTGGGAAGAGGCAAAGCCAGCGACCGTGGAAACAAGTGCTGAGACAGACGACAAGGGTGCAGTCGAGTGAGTGACCAACGTGGACAAAACACGGGAGACGACAGGACGGGAGGCACGGAGGTAGTCGGACAACGGGTCGTGAAGCACAGTGAGGGACGACTCAGGGGGCTATGGAAGGACAGGAGGAGGTGGAGCACGAGAGCGAAGGACAAGGTGGAACGGACCGTCTGCACGGTAACAGGACCAACGGCGCTCTAGGGACACAGCACGACTAAGGGGAGAACGACAAGTTTACTGGGACGAGACTCAACAGGGGGAACAGGAGGGGACGGTATGGGACCACGAACAAAGCGTGCAGGTGCTGGGTCGGGGAGGTCGCGTAGTCGCAGTCGCTGCTGCTCCGCCTCCTCTGGCGTCCGCTGCAACGGCACCGGCCCCTGCTGCTGCTCCTATGGCTCTGCCTCTGCCCTCTCCTGCAGCGACTGCAGCTGCACCTGCTGCTGCGACCGGGACTCCTGCGCTACCCTCTCCTGCTGCGGTCGTGACTCCTCCTCTACTCTCTCCTGCAGGGTCTGTACCTGCACCTGCTGCTGCGGTTGGGACTCCTTCTCTACCCTCTCCTAGTGCGGCCGTGACTGCTCCTCTACTCTCTCCTGCTATGTCTGTAACTGCAACCGTTGCTGCGGGGAGGACTCTTCCTCTACCCTCTCCTGGTGCGGTCGTGACTCCTCTACCCTCTCCTGCTGCGGCTGCAGCTGCACCCGCTGCTGCGACCGGGACTCCTGCGCTACCCTCTCGTGCTGCTACTGTGTCTTCTCTACTCTCTCCTACTGCTGCTGCTGCTGCTGCTGCTGCTGTGCCCTCTCAAACCGCTCCCGCTCCTCCCTCTCCAACCAAGGAGACGCTGCTCCCGGGTCTGGAAACGTACAGTGCGCTGTGTAGGCACCATAGTGCCAGTGCCTCCGGCTCTAGCACCCCCAGAACCTGCACCTCCACCACCGACACCCCCAGTGCCTCTAGTGCCTCCAATATCTCCTGCAGTAACACCCCCAGGCTCCGCAGCAACCGGCCGCAGAGAAGAAGGAGGAGGGAACTGCGGTACGCATGGGAAGCCAGGGGGTGACGTGGGGCGAGGCCGCCGACTCGAGGCTGCTGTGTCCTCCACGGGAGGGACCTCCACGCCCACACCCCCTGCAACCCCAGAGCCGACACCACCAGCTCCAGCAGCCGACACACCCTCCGCAGCTGCGCCTCCCTCACCCCCAGACACGACAAGGACTAAACGCTGCGAGGGAGACGACTGCGGAGTGACGTGCGACACACCTGACGGGGCAGGAAGCGAAGGGGGTGGGGCTACCGGGGCGACTGGGGGGGGCTCAAGGGTGAGGAACAGCGGGGGGGGAAAGGCCTCAGAACCTCGGAGGGGGGGGGGGGGGCTCCTGTAGTAACAGACCGACTCATCGAAATTGACGTCCTGAGAGGAAAATAACTGGTAGGTGACGGGGTCGTAGAACACCCAGCCTGGGCGTCGAGCGGGAAGCCAAGAAAGATGCAGGCACGGATGCGCGCAGACAGCTTGTTCGCGCCAGGGACACGCACGTGAGCCAGACAACCCCATACGCGGTAGTCAGCTGCTACACCCGGAGAATCTGTCCAAAGGGAGATAGGCGTCACCCGTGGCCATGGGTCAATAGGCCACAGGTTCAGTTGGTGCACGGCGGAACGGAGCGCCTGAGGCCACAGTAGCTGGGGGGGCACCGGCATCGCACATGGAGGTTCGAGCAACCTCCATGACGAGGCCAACACGTCGCTCGGTTACCCCGTTCTGCTGCGGCGAGTCTGGTAGCGTGTAAGACTGGATGATCCCCCGACCTTGACAGAACGTCTCTAGGCGAGTTGAAGAAAACTCACCACCAAGGTCCGAGTATAGTCGGAGCCCACACAGACCCTGGGCGCCACCCCTCGCCAGTGGCCATGGCTCGAGGGCGGTCGGAAATGTATCACCTAGACTAACATAAACCAAACATTTAAATTATATGTTGACATCCCAGACGTCCCATGCTGAGCAAGCCACTCACAAAGCTGCTGGGGTGTAAGAGCCTCACGGTGACGCTGCTACTGTCTCTGGCCAGCGCTAGCACCTCCACCGCCGCCGCCAACGCCGCCCCGGCTGCCACCGCTGCCACCACCGCCGCCGCCAACCCCTCCGTCGCCACCGCCTCCACCGCCGCTACCGACGCTACCACTCCCGCCAGCACTCCCGCCACCACTCCCTCCACCACCTCCTCCTCCTCCACCGCCTCCACCACCATCCCCCCCGGTGCCACCTCAGCTATTCTTGGCTCCCTTGCACTTGCCACTGCGGCGCCTCCCACTAGGTGCAGAAGCAGCACCAACAGACTCAGCACCAAGGAAGTCAACAGCTGTGGCAGTAGCGTAGGAGGGGGCGAGGGGAGAGGGAGAGCACCCCTCGAAAATGGGGGTGCGAGGAGCACCACGAGCAGCACCTACAGCGACAATGCTCTTCTCTGCTGCAAGCAGGTGCTCCTCTAGGAGGTCGACAGTGAGCTCGGTGGAGCCGCGACTGAGAAAGTGGTCCCTGACCGAGCTAAGAGAGTCAGGGAGACGGGTTACTATGAAGTGGAGGGTCCAGTGCATCGGACACCGGTTCTTAGCTAAGAACTCTTTGCGGAGGGCGGCGCAAAGGCGAGTGTCACTAGTGCGAAGGTGGGTGATGAGACCAGCCACTATGACAACGGCGGATAGCTCAAGAAACGGGTAGGGCAGCATGAGGCGGCTAAGCTCAGCAGTGGCAGGGGAGGAGTATCGAGCAACTACATCATCGTACAGGGCCTTTGCGGTTTTGTGTTAGCCAAAATCCGTGAGTTCGGCTAACAGCAGGTGGTTGCAAACAGCTAGGCAAGCAGCAGCGTCACGAGTCTGCCACTGGGAACGGGCGCTAAGCTCAGCTGTGGTAGGAGGAGAGACTGAGGCACCAGACGTGTGGTCAAAAAGCGAGACATTGTCGTTACAATCGCTCATTAGGAACAGCTGCAGGTCATCGAGCCAGGTCTTGAACTGAATCGGGCGGCCCTCAGTGTCGAACGACAGAACGCGGAGCGTAGCCATAGCTGCTGGCGTGGGACTAGCAGGGTAGAGCGACTGCAGGCAAGTAGCAGCAGTAGGGGCGGCGCGCTGGGCTGAAGCGGGCGGCCGAAGCAGTGGCAGATAGAGCGCGGGGCAGCAGGCGGCCAACGGGGCAGCAGGACATACGGTGCGCTGAGCGTAGCGGGCGGCCGTGGCTGTGGCAGGCGGTGCTCGGGGATGCAAGCAGCCGGCAGGGCAGCAGGGCGGGCGGCGTGCTGGGCGTAGCGGGCGGCCGCGGCTATGGCAGGTGGCGCGCGGGGCTGCAGGCGGCCGGCAGGGCAGCAAGGCGGGCTGTGCGCAGGACGAAGCGGGCGGCCACGGCAGCAGGGCGGGCGGCGCACAGGGCTGCGGGGCAGCGCGACGGGTGGCGCGCGGGGGACAGCAGGCAGCCGCGGCAGGGGCAGGCGGCGCGCGGGGCTATAGGCGGTTGGCAGGGCAGCAGGGCGTAGCAGGCGGCCGCGGCAGCAGGGCGAGCGGCGCACGGGGCTGCAGGGCAGCGCGACGGGTGGCGCGTGGGGCATAGCAGGCAGCCGCAGCAGGGGCAGGCGGCGCGCGGGGCGCAGGTGGGGCAGCGCTCTAGAAAAAATGTGCGCTGCAGCGGTGGCGCGCGACCAGTAGGGGCAGCGCGCAGATGGCGTGCGCGGGGCAGCGCGACGCGGGGCAGGGCAGTGGGGTAACACGATAACCGCAGTCGGAATGGTGGGCCCGAAAAAAAATGACGGTCCTACGGACCTACTGCACTGAAACCATGTCAAGATGAGAAGCTAAAATAACTGCATTGAATGAATTGTGGGTACAAGTACTAACCCTAACATTGGGTTAACCCCATATGGGCTACCCCACTTTAGCCTACATAGAACTAGCACAGATATATTTTGACAGTTTCGGCCATTTCGCCTCACCCACGTTTTTATTTTCGAACTTTCAAGTTCATATTCCCCCCACCCATCCCTAGAGCTTGGCAATGTTGTAATGTATACTTATGAGGGGCAATGCTGTACTTGATCCATAAGCAATGAAGACGACGCCTATGCTAGTCAAGAAGCAAGCTTTCTCAATTTAGCCTTGTGGTTCTTTTGCTTGTGCTCGGAGTGAGTGGTGACGTTGTGATCCACCCTGAGCTTTGTTCAGTGGTCTTGTGCAGGGCCCAGAATTGGTTTAGGCCTACCCTAGGGAATCAGGGTTCCAGCCCCTCCTTACCCTGACCCGAGGGTAAAAATTTCCGTACCTTGTTGGCAGCAGGGTAAATCTACCATTACACTGATTTGAGCAGGGTATTTCTATACTTAAGTTTCATAAGTAAAAACAATGTAGCACACAAATCACTACAGAATGTGCGGATGAGTGTGTAGCGATAGACCCCACCAGTGGAGCTCATCTCTCACAAGGCCTCGTAATTTATGAGCCCCCCACTTGGTGAGAAGTGCGTGGCTGGCACAACTGCAATTTGACTGCAATTTGAAGCGTAGAACCACACGAAGCTGTCCTTCTCGCGCAACTCTGTTCAGCTGGCAGTGGGCGTGGTGTGGTGTCACACCATTTAAAGGTGCGTAAGCAGTCCAGAGGGTACGGTAAAACAAACAATAAGGCGACACCGCGTGCCGCCGACAACATTACACGGTTTCCAGCCTGTGGTCACAAGCGACAACAGTGGCAGCGTAAGAGTGGTACAGTTTGTCAGCACGCAGAGTATTGATTGATCCGCGCTAAAAAAGGTTTCGGTATCAAGGCAGTGTACACAGAAGCCTGATACCGTCAAGCTTATTGTGTGATGCTATCATTCGCATTCACGTCTGTCTGCCTCCCATCATGTGTTCGCGTGTTGCATGCGTGGTGTGAACGTGTGCAAGAATTTGTGTTTGGTGTGGTTTGGATTTCCTGAGTATATGTGAATGGTATTTGGCTTGGGCAGATATCTGAAGTGATTTCTCTGCTCAAGAGCTTTCCGACGAACCAAGAATTGTCGCGATTGGAGCAATATCAAGAAAGTTACGAACATTAGAGCTCGTATGCTTTCTGTACTTTGGTTGCGGCGACTATGGGAAGTTGTGGGGTTTGACTCCATAAGGGGTATAGACTTTTGGGGTTGGGAAATTCGAACCCATCACTGTAGATGCTGCCATGTGGTTGGGTGAAGCCAAACCAGGTTGGCAAGTGTGGCCAAGTGGGTTGAGGTGGATGGCATGAGTTGGGAAAGTGACAAATGTGAAAGTGGGGTTGCCTATGGAGAGGGGAATTGTGTGGCATGGGGTTTCCTTTGGTTGGGGACTCCTTGGGACCTTCCCTCTCGTCCTCCTCTTCCCTCCCACCTGGTTTAGTCCTACTCTAACTCTCTTGTGTGCAACTCTTGAGAACTTGTGAGTTAATTGTGATTGAGTTAAAGTTTCTGTGGCAGCATACCCCCTAGTGCGCCGAAAAGCATAACTCAAGATATACTTCATATTTTGATACGATTCGAATTGGGACATGTAGCCACGGTCTAGGGCTACAACATATTCGAAATTTGTGAGATTCAAACGATGCACCTTTCGTCGACAACGTTTCTTGTGAAGTCGACGTTTCTGTCCAGAATCCTAAGCCAACGATTTTGAGATAATTTCGGCTCCTAAGCTTCTAGACTCCGTCCTTAGTCTCTAACAAATGGTATCTGAGCAATTAAGGACTTTTTGAGGAGTCTACAGAAGTGTGAAGACCCTCTTAGACCCACCATGGCCTGTGGGCGTGCCTAAGTGGAGCTCTGGAGGTTGGGAGTGACTTCCGCTAAGGGGAAAGTTGCGGAGATAACTCTAGCAACGGGAGCTTGACTGCGGGGAAGGAATGTGCGTGAGAGGTAGCTCTGCGTTCGTTCACTTAGTCGTTTCCTTGTGCGCACACTACTTGCTAGTTCACGGGGAGAATTGGCAAGAGTTCCACTAGGAAAACATCACAACAAAGGTTCAGAATGATTGCAACAACATTGGCAACATTGACTACATCAGAGCTAGCTAGGCTGCTGGTCGACCTCCAGCGCAGCACGGTCGACCGCGTTCCAGCGCAGCAATGCTCGCACCGCTCCAGCGTTGCAGAGATGCGGCGCGCCAACGTTGCATGTCCGTGGCGGGCCAACGCTGCAGCAAGTCGGCTGCACAGCGTTGCACCCGCAGGACAACGGTGCACCTGCTTCGCAGGTGCGCACGGCTGGTTGGTGCTCCACGCCTGGTCACGAGCACAGCGCAGACGCCTAGATCGATTCCATGCCAGCGACTGCGCCCACCAGCCATGTCGACCTCGGGATACCACCCCCGAGGTCGCCCTCGCCAAAACCATCCACGGCGACCTTCGCAGCCGTCGCCTGGGTATCCCGGTCAACCGGGCAACCCCGCCTGGTCGCCCAGCCCAGTCGGACGCCGGCTACGCCAAGCCCGGCGTCCCCAGGTCGGCGTCCTGGCGTCCTGGTCGGCGTCCCCTCACCCAGGACGCCTTCCAGGCGCCCAAGTCAGCATCTAGGCGTCCGGGACGCCGAGCAGACCATCAGGTCGGCGTCCAGCCTCCCAGGACGCCGGGTAGACGCCCAGGGCGGCGTCCAGGCGTCCAGGACGCCGAGCAGACGCCCAGGTCGGCCCAGGACGCCCAGCAGACGCCCCAGTCGGCGTCCGGCGCACAGGACGCCGAGCAGACGCCCAGCTCGGCGTCCAGCCTCCCAGGACGCCGTGCAGATGCCCAGGACGCCGTCCAGACGCCAAGGACGGCGTCCACCTGCTCGGCGCCCATGCAGTGGCCCCCGTGCCCACTGCTGCAGGTCGGCTGCATCTCCCGCGCACCCGACCACGAGGTCGGCTCCGCCCAAGCGAGGACGGGGCCAAACACAACTCCCGTTGACACTCCCCTGCCGCGTTCACGCTTGGGCCCCCAGCCCACACGGCAGCACTGCTCGGAAGACAGCTCGGCGGCGTGCACACAACACACAGCACGCCGGTCACCGCACCAGCCATGCAAGAGGGCATGGCACCTACTGCTGCACGTCGTTGTCGCCGTCGCCGACGTCGGCCAGACGCACTTGGCCGATCGCGACGGAGCACCGGTTGAAGGCCGGGTAGTGCAGCGCCTTTGTCAGGAAGTCGGCCGGCTGCTCGGTGGTCGGGATGTACTGCAGCGCAAACTTCCCCCGCTTCACCATGTGCTGCAGCCAGGCCTGTCGCCGCTCCATGTGCTTGAGGTTGCCCATCAACCCCATGCCCTCGGCGACCGTGATGGCCGACTTGTTGTCCGTGACGCGGGCTGGGCCCCACACGTCCAGGTGGAGCGTCTGCAGGGGAGCAGTCGTCGGGGGAAAAGAGGAGGAGTGAGGAGCGGCGCGCTGCCGCCCCTCGACACAGGGAAGACAGGGAGGAGCAGGCGAGGGTGGGAGGGGAGGGAGCACCCTGGGAAGACCAGAGACAAGCTGCCGTTTGTGCATGGCACGAAGGCGCTGCACAGACGGGTGGCCAAGTCGGTGGTGCCAGAGGACGGTGTCGTGCGCCAGAGAGCGACACGAGCAGGGGGCCGACAGCTGACCTGACGCAGACGCGGACGCAGCTACCTGAGGGGACTCAGTGGTCAGTGTGTACAGGTCCGACCCTGGCTGCCGAGTGAAGGTAGCCAGGTGACGGCCCGTCCGAGCACACGTGCAGTGTGTCACGCGCTCGTAGGCAGGGGTGAACTGGTGAACACCCGCATCCTGGAGCGCACAACCCGCCACCAAGTTCGTAGAGAACGAGGGGAGGTGGAGACCTGACAGTGTGCCCGACGGGACCGCAGGACAAGGAAGGACAGTGGAGGAGGTCGCAATGACCGGACCCCCAGAGGGGTCAGCGAGGGAGACAGCAACTGGCCGAGCAAGCGGCTCAAGGGCAGTGCGGTCACGAAAGAAACAGCGAGAAGCACCTGAGTCCAGGGTGAAGGTGTGCAGGGCCTCAGTCGACTCAGTACCAGGGGGCGCAGACTCACTAGTGTCAGAACAAGCT